GAGGGGGACATAAAGGCTAGAGACAGTCAAACACAGTTGAGTCTTTTAGGAGAATAGAATAATGAGAGATGAAAATGTTATTGGTTATTTCAGGCTGGGTGTCAAAAAATATCTCAAGTTGGAAATATGAAAGGGAAGTTCAAGTGTTGTCTCTCATTCGCTCTCTCATTTCTTCAAAAACTCTTTCTGACCTAGACCATTCCAGGATCTGTGGTGATAAAGTGACTACAACCCCACACAATTCCTGCCCACAAGTAACTTACAATCTAGCAGGGAGAAACATACCTGCAAGTGACTAAGTATAATATGAGAGAGAATGAAATAAATTCTATAAGAAGACTCTCAAAGGAATGAGTGGTTAATCCTGAGTAGGAAACTGTAAGATGGTTTCCAGGTGGAGATGGGTTTTAAGAATGTGTATGATGGGGCTGGCCTGGTGGAGCAGTGGTTAAGTTTGTGCATTCTGCTTTGGTGGCCCGGGATTCGAAGGTTTAGATCGTGGGTGTGTACCTACACACTGTTCATCAAGCCATGCTGTGATGGCGTCTCACATACAAAATGGAGGAAGACTGCCACAGATGTTAGTTCAGCGACAATCTTCCTCAAGCAAAAAAAAAAAAAAAAGAATGTGTATGATGCTGGTAGGCTAAGAAAGGATGAGTGGCTTTCTAGGTTGAAAGGAAACTATGAGCAAGGGCAAAGACCTGTAAATGGTAAACAGTCTTTCAAAGCTGAGGCATATTCTGGGAAGTGGTATTAAAGGCAAGATGGGGTTAGATCATGGAGGGTGCCAATTCAAATGCTGACTCATTCTGAAAGCAATGGAAAACCATAGAAAGTTGAGTATGAAGTGGAGTGGGGGATAAGTTACAACTATCCATCTGCCCTAAGTGTTTAGGAAAACAACTTCAAACTAATTCTGTTAATGTGAAGAATGGATTAAAGAAATTAGAGATTGATAACAGGGAGCCCGGTTAACAAGGTATTGTAATAGCTCAAATGAAAGATGAGAATTTAAATTAGGATAGTGAAAAAAGGATGGGGATAAATGCAAGTGATATACAATATTTGTACCAGTAGAATTGATAGTACCTGATGACTAATTAGATAAAGTATGTAAGAGTCAAAGACAATACCATTGTTTCTAGCAGGATCAGCTCCTCAGAGTGGTGAAAAACTTTCTAAGGTGAAAGGATATGTCCAGGTGATTTAGATTTTATTCCCCAATCTGCCGCCAGTTAGCTATGCGGTATTTTTTTACTACAGTTTCCTCAACTATCATATTACAGTTAAGGAATTGTTCTGTAGTGTAACTTTGAATTTTAGCATTCTGCGATTCGATTCAACTAAACCTTCCCACTAAGCTTATAGCTTTAAACTCAGCAAAATATACTAGGAAGGAGATACCTTTAGATTCAAAAAGACTACTTTATCTATTTATATGAAGTTAGTTAAATTTTACTATTTAATAGATTTGTAGAACTGAGGAATAACTTCAAAGAGGTCTTTTCTTTACTTAGGAAGGAAATTTGTGTGTTGAGCATTCAGAAATATTAAGACATTTTCGTTGTCTTCCCTTGATAACTTATCCCAATGAATAACAACACTTTTTATCAGAAAATTTGCTTAACTTGTTTAAAATTTATCTATTCCTATGTCTGTTGGTTCTGCTTCAATTAGAAAAGAAAAATGGTATCTGATATTAAACGATTCCATATTCATTAATAAAAAACACATTTATTGAGAGCCTATTAATTTTAAGGCACTCTTATAGACAATGTGGTAGCCTAAGAAACAATCCATGCTCTCAGAGTTTGCTATCTAATTTGGAAAAGACAACATGTTAATTAACAACACATTACAGCATCTGGTAGCTAGCTGACTTGTTCTGTAAGAGTTCATCGGAGGAAGGCATCATTATAGGTTGAGATGGCTAGAGAAGAAGGTCAGCCAACACAGCTGGAACTTGATCAGGAGAACTTCAGTGAAAAGAAAGACGCGGTCGATTAATAAGTCATTTCAACCAGAAAAGATGTCTTATTTCAATTCTACACGTATTTAGCATCCAAAAAGATGCTAGGCATAAGAAGCAGTAAACTTACGGTTGGGAAGAGATATGTATTTATTGTCTAAAAGTGCAGAGTTATAACCTGAGGTTCACCAGTAAATTCCTAATTGCCAAGTCCAATGTATTTACTCAGCATTCTTTCAATGGTAGTTATTTGAGTCTTTTGAATTGACCATTCTCTCCTTTTTGAAACTTTCTTTCTTTGCCTTCTGGATATTTAATTTTTTCTCTCTCTCTTACAATCTTTTTTCTTTCAATGAATTCGATTTTTCCTACCTACCAGGATCCCTGGCCCTAGCTTTCTACTTGCTTCAATAAATACACTCTTAATTGTAAATCTCATAGTCTCATGATGTTAAATACTATCTGAATATATTTGCATGATTCTCAGATCTCTATCTCCAGCCTTGACTTCCTGGGTTTCAATTCCTCATTTCCAGTGGACATTCTCATACACACGTCTAACTTTTACATGAAAACACTTGTCTAAAGACCTGCTCAACGTCTCCTCCCCCAAATTGGATCTTTCTTCTGTCTATCTAGAAATAGCAAGTATTGACGTATTCTAAACATGCAAATATGTAATCTTGAAGCCATTTTGACTTCATCACCCAGAGAAACAATTGGTTGCTAAAAAGTCATGCTGCTAGTTTCACCACTGTCACCACCCTAGGACAAGTTTTTTATCACTTCATGCCTGAATAACTAAAATGACTTCCAGTTGGTCTCTCAAAGTCTGGTTTTTCCCCACAGAATCACGGTAGTATAACGTGACCCAAAATCTTTTGTTTGATGCTTTACATTCACCATCAGCTGGCTTCAACTCAAATGTCCAGCTTCATTTCCCAGCCTTCTAGGACCCTCTGATTCACTCAGTCTTTTAACTAATTATCCTCTGACTAAATATCACAATTTCCTCCCTTGGCCTACACACTCCTCCTCTGCTAGAAAGCCCTTCCTCACTCTTCTATGACTCCTGAAGATGTGCTTAGTTCAAATTTCACCTCCTTTATGAGACCTCTTCTGAATACTCACTTTAACATATAAAGTAGCTAGTAAATTGTCATTTTGTGGGATAAATTTACTTTTGTGACACTTTGCCTATAAAGTTAGTAAAAATTAGCATTTATTTATACTGGAAGTTGAAATTGATTTCTCTTTAAAAGGAACATGAAGGGGGCCAGCCCAATGGCGCAGCGGTTAAGTGCACACGTTCCACTTCAGTGGCCCGGGGTTCGCTGGTTCAGATCCTGGGTGTGGACATGGCACCGCTTGGTAAGCCATGCTGTGGTAGGCGTCCCACATATAAAGTAGAGGAAGATGGGCACGGATGTTAGCTCAAGGCCAGTCTCCCTGAGCAAAAAGAGGAAGATTGGCACCAGATGTTAGCTCAGGGCTAATCTTTCTCAAAAAAAAAAAAATAATAAAATAAAATAAATAAAAATAAATAAAAAGAACATGAAGCCTGCTTTGCTCCCATGAGCTGGGACATTATAGAAAGTATCTGATTTCTGGTATCTCTTTATTATTATGTTTTTATTTGAAGTTATTTTGTCTTGTTTCTATTTTACATGGTAGCCCTGCAACATAAAATATTAAAAATAGAAATACTATGAACAAGCAACTAGTTCAATCTATTTATTTTTCAGGTGTAGAAAGTGAGTTCCAAAGAGGGTAGCTGACTTGCCCAAGGTCACAATGTGGTTATTCCCAGAGCTATGCCTAAAAATTAGGATTATTAGTTCCTAATTCTATACCTTTTCCATACCCCATGTTGTACACTTCCATTTTTGTACCTTAAATTGACATTACTCAAATGAAAGAAAAATAGTTTTTCATTCTTTCTCTTATTTTACACCCAAGCAAGTGAATTAGTGCCTTTTAAGTTATTAATAAGAACATTCTAAATAGAAACACAGCATGAGCAGTTTATTATGATATATATCAACATAAGGGAGATATGGATATCATCTTAATTATCTACATTTCTGAAACTTCATAAAACTAACTTCTTTTTCATTGGTGAGTTGAGTGGAAATAGTTATGTGATTTTTTTGTTTTTGTTTTGGAAGAAAACCTTATACCAGGCACTATGCTAATATTTATAATGGTAGTGTGAAAGACTGTTTGAAACACCAAAAATAATTCACTTTATGCAGGAAAAGAGAGATAAACATCATAAGCCAATGTAAATTTACACTGGTGATGTGAGAATGTGAGAGAAGACACTGTTCAGTCTTGGGGAAAGAACATGGAATGTCACAATTGCCCTGAAACGCAATCCTACAGCAGGAGCAGAGTGAAAAAACACTGCATACTACTTTCCCATGGTAATTTTTTAGCTCCATTAAAAAGAAGTGAAATTATCAGTTCTTCTCTATAAAACTTCCGTCTAGAAAACATTATTTAGAGGGGCTGGAGGGTACTGAGAATTAAAAGTGAAGAAAGAATAATGAGGAACACAGATGATCAATTTTTGTGAGGAATGTCATAGAAATTTGGTTTGTCTTTCTGAAAAAACATTTTACAATCTAAATTACACCACATCATTTGAATTCTCAATGACTAATTATCAACTGGTGGCTAGAAGAGGCATATTATATTCTAACTTTAAAATTATTTATGCAGTCTTTTAAAATAAAAATTACTACCAGAAATTTACCTAACTCACGCTTTGAAAGGATTTATTTATCCAGTTCAGCTTCCTCAACTTTCCCAGGGAAATCAGCGGTTTAAGAATAAAGATATATTTGCTGAATAAAATATCAGAATATGGAGAGTTCTGATTTGAAACACAATGAGAGACTTGTAAAATCTGACTTAATTGTTAAGTCATGGAGATAGAAATGGATGGCCAGCATTTCTTTCCCTTACTCACTGAATCCACATGACACAGGACAAATCTGACCCTATCGTGGTACACACAACTTACCTGTACCATTGTCAACTGTGGTCTGGATCGTGGCTTCCGGCCCCATAGTGTCATAGTCTTCCTTCATTTCTTCTGTGGGGGAAAATTATCTTTAGCATTTAAAATCGTAGAAAGGCTTACTATACTAAGCATGCCAACCACAGGAACAAGGAAGATTCTTTTAAAGGAAACAGAGAAAAGGCTTGTTGTAAACCTCTAAACAATAGCTTTGTTCAGGCAATTGAATGAATCCAATAGTGCTAGCTGCACAAGAACTTATTTACTTTAAGCATTACTGCAAACTGTGAAAAACAGAGGTGCTTATTTAGGGCAAATGAAGGGCTTTTCTTCTGGTGGCAGTTCCAGTGACAAACAGGGGCAAAGATATTATTTTTTCAGTAAGAGTCAAAAGTAACTAAGTATTTGTCTTTCTGATGAAGCACACCAGCTGCTGGGCCTCTGGTCACTCTGGATGTTAGTAGCAAGTCACAATTTCTTATTTTATTTTCATGCTTGGCCCCCCTTGGAGTAGCTCTGATGGTGCTAAACTATGCAAGCATACTTTTTAAAAAAACTTAATTCTACATATCAAAACTTGAAATAACCAGTTTTTAAAACAAATATCCCAGAGGTATTGAAAACACCTGTTCCACTGTTTTCTATAAACTTCTAAAACATACCTTCTTTATTCCTTTCCCTACCACTCCATAAATATCTTTCTTCTTTATCATTTATGCCCCAGTGGATAATCATAGTCATTTTCTGAGGAAAAACTTATAGATATAACAACAGCTTAATGTTCTGATGAAGATGAAAACATGTAATTCTGAAGTTGAACATTCATAAATGATCAAAGGTCATTTCCTAAAATTGTAATATTTTAAAACAGGGAGAGTTTAAAGAAAAAATAGGAGAACTCTTAAATTTTCTGTCCACCAACCTGTAGAGTAGGTGAGAGGACAGAAAAGGACAGCTGACAGTTAAAAATCCTCTAAGTGTGTAAATTAAGCATGAACTTTTAAAAATTGTATTTTTATAATAAAAATGCTAATGAGAACCAAGCATGGTCCAGGATAAATATCTCTCTGTGATAATCAAAGAGAAACTTTAGAAGTAGGACTCTGTGAATTCCCAAATTTATCCTGATTATTCTTTGCTTATAACATTCTAGTCATAATTACTTGATACAAGAACAAATACTATAGCAAATGCTATAAACTAAATACTAAATACTATATACTAAATATTATAGCAAAATTAAAAAATATATTTTACAAGTGGTATGCTGCAGCATATCTTTTTATGGTATCACAGCTGAAAAATCATAGGCCTCTTAAGGTAAAATACACAGATCTAAATAGATGCTAATTTAATGCCACTGCACATAATAGTCAGATAATTTGAATGATACTTATTTAAACTGCACAACCACTTTAAGTTCATTCTTGGCCCTGGACTTCTCTCTTATTTAAGAAATATTTTCACAGGGGCATTTTGCATAAAACATTTAGAAATTCAATATATAGCCATATTCTATTGTCAATTGTAATAACTGATCGGTTGAAAGGCTCCTCATCTGATATTTTTATCGGTCTCTGCAAGGAATTAAATTAAGGTATTTCTGAGAAGTTCAGCGCTAGATATCAATATAGCTTTTGCATCTTTCTTCCTCACTCATCTCATGTGATTTCTGGTGGCTGAGAGTCAGAAGAATCATCAGTTTTCCATCTGAGAGATCAGGTCACTGAGGGGAAAACAGTTAACAGCATTTTTTTTTTTTTTTGCATAATAGTGGTAATGTTCAAGATTTCTGCCGCACTTCCTTCCTCATTGTCATTTTCTTATGAAAAAGCAAAGAGAAGTTACAATAGGTGGTTGCTTCCCAAATTATTTAATGCTGGGCATACAAATGTGTAGTTTGCATTCTGTAGGATTAGTTTAGCTTTACTCTCTTTTACCAAAGATTGTGCAACTGAGATGGTGTCACTTTTACCTAGAATGTACTTTGCTTCAATTTACTGAACATCAACCTTTTTCTTTTTTGAATATCAGGTTCGATTTATTAAAAGGAAACACTAAGCCTTTTCAGGTATGTATCTGAAATACTATGTGTGTGCCTCTTTCATTGTTTCGTGTGAATCCATCTTGAGAAGAACATAATATGTAGGTTAGGGATATCCCCTCTAAATTAATGGCATTCCTGGCTGTCTTTCTGCCTCACGCCTAGCCCTTAAACATTTTCCAAGACACCTCTGACTCAGCATACTGTGTCTAAAACCACACAGTATATTTGTTTTTAAAACACTTGTAAAAGTGCGTTTTCCAGTCACCCTTGGGATGAAGGTTTGTAAAAATAAAGAGCACTTTCTTCCTTAAGATGAAGAATCCTTGAATAAGCAGAAAGAGGCCAAGATGCAGGTGATTTATTTAAGTCTGTGTCAATGATAATGATGTCATGGTTTCCAGCACACTGTGTCCACCCCATTGTGGGACGAAAGAATGTCAAGGACAATTCCAAACACAAGACTTTGATTGTGCTGGAACCGGAAAGGCACAGTAAGAACTCCACTGAGCTCTTCAGTTCAAAACCTGCATCCTGCAGACAAACTACAGAAAGCATGGGAGAAAGAGCAAAGGAGAGGGGCTTATCTCAGAGTAAAGCTATGTGCTGAGGTATGATGGTAGACAGCCAGGCACCAGGGATAAAACACTACTAAATAAAACAGCACCAGAATTAGAATTATTGTCTATATTGTGTATTTTGAACAATAAATAAGAAAAATATTTTATCAGAAGAAAAATGTGTTATCTAAGAGTCAGGATAAACAATGAGTAGCTTTTTAAGACCAATTTCTTTTCATTAGACATCAAGGCACCACATCAGAGCACTTTTGGAACAATAAAAAAAAGGAACAATAAATCATTACTAATCATTAGAACTAGACAGGTAATAGCCGGGTAACTTTCTGGGTCCAAATAGCCAAATGAGATTAAGGATTTACATTTTATTTAATTATTGTGACTCCAGAATGCTAGTTTATTTACCATAAAGGTAAGAGCAAAGACCAGCCTGTTCATTTGTATCCCAGCACCATTAACTACAGGTGACAACAGGGTCTGGAACGCATTCATATGGATTACCGTATATTAAAACGTTTAGAATTATGATCCATCGCCAACAAAAAAGCTGCCATAATCACAGACTACTACAGTTTGGCACTGCTCTTTTGGCTGTTTTTCAATTATTGATCTTAGTTTTTTAAAATTAAACTTTTTTTTTAGAAGTTTAGAAACGTACATTTGTTATATCGTTATTAATTATTCCTTTAAGGGTGGAAATTCTAGTAATTGGTCCTTACCCTTGATTTCTAGATATTAAAATTTAAAGCATCAGAACATTCATTCTTATAGCCCTGCATATCTAGTTCATTAACAAATATGAATAGCTAACACCAGCTCATTTAAATAGTATGTCTTACATGAGTTCTCGCCACACTCTGTTTCTGTCACACTGCTCCCAAGAATCATTGGCTCTTATTATACATGTAAATGGCTATCATAAAAATAAAAATTTCATTTAAGATTGTTAATGACTTCTGCAGCAGTCAGACTTCCTTTAATGATCATCCTCTGCCCCTAATTAAACGTATTTATCTTTCAAGCATCTTTGGCTGAGTTCTCCCTCATAGTTGAAAATCTAAAACCTTAAGTCTTAATGGATATAACGATAAATGTTTATGTGTGGGATTGCTGAGATTCGAGAAACCTTCACCGAAAGCAAAATTGGAAACAGAAAGAGTACGAAACTTGGCACAGTATGTTAGGAAAACGAAAAACAAATACAGCACACTCAAACTGCCATCCGTCTTTTTTCCTTCTCTTTTTCACATTTCATCTTCTGTAGTGGTGGCAGCGCTTTTATTACCCTCCTTCCAGTATACCAAACAATTACTCTGCCTATGCTCAGTGTTTTACAGTCTGCGGCATCACAATAGCATATAGGTAGATTCCGGTGCTTATTATTCCTCTTTCCATCCACTTCACCTATTTATGAAAATGCTACTGTTATTTATATCGTAAGAGAAAAAACAAGGTAGGGTAAATCACGATGGCTTTCACTGGGTCCCGGGAATAGAGATTAAGGAGACACGAAGGCTTGAAATAGAAGGGTCATTTAAAAAAATTTTACAGGCCACCTTACCAAGGAAAGATGAGCAGAGGGAGCTTATGGGAATAAGACTAATTCTCTTTTATTTTGTCAATCATTTCATGCCTTACTGATGTTCCATTCCTATGTCAATTTTTTGACCAAGACATTTCCATTTGCATAGTGGCATCTGAAGTTTTAGTTTGAACATGATTTACCCTATTTTTATTATAGTTGGCCTTGGACCATTTTTATGTCCTCAGAGAGTTCCACCAAACAGCAGGAATCATTATCAAGTACTTAGCTGTTAAATCATAAGAAAACTACCTGACCAGGTAAAAGTGTGAAATCACATTCACACTTAACAAAAGAGAATGATTAGATGGTTGAATTACAATAGGAGGTGTCAGACAGACACTGAAACTACATTAAACTGACAGTTATTTGGTTGGTATTGCTACACAATTTCCACACAAAACTTTCAAATATATGTTAGTTGTGAGCTTTTATGGCTGCCCCCATTTTCTATCCTGAGAGTACAGATCTCGATCACGTTATAACTTACACATTGTAAAGGTGGTGCAGATACTTCATGTTGTGTGTTTAAAATATAATTCATATTCAACTTTCATCAAAACCGAAACATAATCCCTTCCTAAGAGGTCAATGTTGTAATGTGATAACACTACTACCACTTCATAATCTGTCACCAGCTTTGGTATCTCTATTCTGCAAGGGCTATGGGAAGAAATATTTTAATTATTTGGTTGTGGACGTTCCACTGGGTAGTAAAGATTAGTTTAAGATGGCACGGGAAGGGGCCAAGTTGATTTCGACGCTTACCTGGACCATCTACAGAGGCTTGCAGAATGTTGCTGGTGTGCCAGGTATGTTCCACTCCACTCTCCCTTATCTCATCTTCCTCTTCCTCTCTTGGCAACAGACCTTGGCTCACGTGTGGGGAGGACTCATGGTTGGGCACGCTAGCTGGACTCCTCTCCTGGTCCAGAGGGTTAGCAATCCCGTCCTCCTCAGCAATTTGAAGCTTGTCCTCCTCATCTGTTTCAGAACCCGTGTCCACTACATTGTCATAGTTCACCACTGAAGAGAAAGCACAGAACACACACTCTCTAAACACCCTGTTGAAAAATATCAGTCACCCCTAATTGTTTAGTTAAATGAAAAATAATTAATATTTTCATAACTTAATTACTCAACCATGTCAGGAAAATATAATTAACATCTTTCATGTTTTAGCATTTTTATTCTTATTCAATTACAGCTGGGTACTCTTTCTGATTTTAAATAGTTTTTACTAAAAAGATGGGAAATTTTAAAAAGCAACAGAAGCACATATACGCAAAAATATGCCTATACTGCATATGCAAAGAGACATATTGCAATATGCATTTTCAATACTCCACAGAAACTTACAAAATAGATCCACAATTGACAATTTTATTAGCTTAGTGACATGGAGTGTTTACTACAAAATGTTGTACTAAAAATACGACATGACTTCACTATATTAGCTGTGGTCTTATTCCTAGAAACAGTAGACATACAAACACAAAATGTCCATCTATTTACCCAAATCCACAAACACATACACAAACCTGCTCAATCTGAACTGTTCACTGTTGCTTCTACGTCAACCGTCATGTGCTAAGGCCATTTATATCCCAATCTTTTAAGCAGAAAATGAGGAAAAGCCATATCTTCTGGGCCATTAATACTACTATTGAGATGTCTTCATAGTGCCATAATTACAGAAGATTTCAAAGTGACACAGGCAAGACCAACACAAATGTTAAAATAACTCACAAGAACCGGCAGGCTGCTTTTGCAGCCCTCAGTCCCAGCAATGCTCAGTAGCTTTTCTTAAAATAGACAGCCTGTAAATAAGGTCTGTGAACTCAATTGAAGGTGGCTGTTTCTGAATTAGTCAGCCCTCACAGGCTCTCGGCCTACATGCTAGTACATAAATTGTCCACTTTACCACCAGACAAGAAAGATTAGAGTAATAAACACGGGGCATTAGCTCAGCTAGAGAAACACACCAGCCGTTACGCACACACAGGATTGCCAAGAACTGTTAACCCAACTCTCCAGAAACACACACAAAAAAACAAGTTAGAACCATGACATCATGGGAACAAGAGGGAGAGAGAAAGAAAAAAAAAAGCCTGTGGAAAAAAAAAAAGCGCAAACAATTTTCAGGTTCATTTTGATTTCTCTGCGCCTAATAAAGCAATCCTCTGCTAAGTTATCAACTGAGCTATCTCAAGTGGCTCTTGCCAGCTATCGGATTATACAAAAGTGGCAGAAAAGGAGGAAAAAAATGAAAAGGATTGTGTGTCAGGTTCATAATGCTTTTGGAGAATTCTGGAAACATGTCTAGTTACAAATTTTAGTCAGTCATATCTGTTTGCTTTGACAGGTTCCCAGGGAGTAAAAAAGGAACAAAAAGAGAGAGATTTTTTTTGTCATGTGAGGCTGGGGACAAAAAGATTACACCGTGCATATCTGCTCATAATATGATCTTTGTATAATCCGCGGGTTTGCACTTGCCTTCAGAACAACTGCACAACAGGTGCAAATTAAAATGAAAACGGCAGCGGAGCCGGGCAAACAGAATCTGCTGACCTGGTTTGAATACCAATTGACGGGGGAAACAAAACCTTTTCAAGAGGTGTGACCACAACGGCTTAGGCAAGTTCAGGCTGGGTAATGCCCTCAGATCTACAAAAAGAGAGATATTCTAACATCTCTGCTCTAGCTGTGTGGTCCAGATATACCTTAGTACAATCAATAATGTGCTTCTTTTTTTTTTTTTTCCTGGTGACTGAGATTTAACCATTTCTTAGCAACAAGCAGAAGATTCTTTACAAATGTTCTCAACACTGAGTTCGGGGCGGGGGTGGCGAGCGTGGTGGGGGCTACAACAAAAGCTCCTAAGGCCTGGGAAGCTTTCAACCCACCTCCTAAAAACTGATCTCTGGGCACAGGAGGAATAAAGAAAGGTCCAGAAGGAGTGAATAAAATTATCTAAGGCTGGACAGGCATTAAAAGGCCTTTATCCTGGAAAAAAACCCATGCCTTTTAAGGTCTTTTTCTGCATGGACCACAATATCCCGTGTGACACGTGAGTGTTCCTGCAGCAATACAATTGAAATATTTTCTTGTGGAAAAAAAAAAAAAGAGATAAATGATTTATGAACAGCCCTTGAGGAGTCCCAAATATCAGAACAATCTAAACAAGCAATGAAGTCATGTCTCACCATATAGGGTCAGGAGTACAGCATCCATCACCTTCACGGGCCAACAATACTTCACAACCTTTAGGGTTCTCGCTCACAAATAGTAGTAAATACTTTTAAACTAAATAAATAACTGCTGTCAAGTTCACTTACAGAAGCAGTATGCCATCTTTTCCAGAGCTGTGTCAACTAGGATATCCATTCCCATAGCCATTATGTTGGTGTCCTACCCTCCGCTTTTTTTAATCCAGGTAAAACAATTCATAACAAAGTTAGTTTTTATATCTGAATTCAGAGTAGTTCATTGCATTCTGTTCTTTCTGGTTGACCTTCTGAGACTCAAAATCAAATCCATTAAAATGGACATTGTACTTTCTGCTCCTCACCTCCTCCTCCCACTTCCAAATCCCCAGGAGTTTCCTTAAAATTTTTCCCTCAAATCTAGTCAGTGGATTTGTCTAGTGTAGGTATTGGGGAAATTTTCACCATAAAATATTCTTACTATAGAACGGCCAATACATGATGAGTTTACTCCCATCTACATTATGAAATAAAATAGGCTCATTTTCCTATTTGTTTCTGTTTTCATCCTTTGCCCACCATCATCACCATTGGCATAAGAGATCTTAATAATGTAGCTTTGTCTCTGCAAAGAAGAGATTCAATTTTGTATAATAACCAACGTAAACTGGTTTTAAATAAGGGTCTTTGGGCAGAATATATTAGTCCAGTGTCTATTTTTGAATTTATCATACATATTTTTTTATTCAGCCATCAAGAGCCGCCTACATAACGTAGCAAAGTTCTAGTCAGTCCTTACGTTAGGGCAAATAAGCCACCCCTTGCATGAGTCTCAGCAAAATTTTATACATGTATTGGAGTTACATGGCTGGCAGAAAAACAGACAGTTACTTCAAAACCACAAAGAAGTGGGAGCCCAAAGAATTCCTTTCTGCAATTCAATAAACAAGAGGAAAGATGTACTGTTTGCTGGCTCAAAATAGACACTAATTTTACATCTGTCTCTGAGGCACAGCAAAAAGCCAACTAAAGAGCAGTAATAAATGTCCAAAAACAGCATCAGTATCCAAAACTCTCCCAGTAATCTTCAGAGGAATTAATTACAATTCTGTGTAACAGTTGCATTGGCAAAATGCACCTATAATTATATACAGGTACTGTACTGTATTACAGGGAAATTCGCCATGTGATACCATGTTTACACGATAATTGATGGATAAGATAAAACTATTTGCATATGAAGTGCATATGAATTATTGGCACGGCTCACCATTTTATGTGGAATCATATTAAAGTTTCATTTTCTCTAAAACTGTATGTGTAATATGGGGTTACCAAAGGGGATAAAGCTGATACTTAAATTTGCTTTATAGCAAATGGGCCTGGAAAGATATATCTATGTATTACTAAAACCTATATTTAAAAGGCTTCGTAGTTTATCTATAATAAGCATTATTTTCACTTCACCAGATTGCATTATACTAAATCCTCTCTATTCTTCCTTCTAAGTAAACAATACTCTAAATTGTATCACTATACCAATTAATTTTACAATCGTATGCAAAACAAATAATGGTTTCTCTTTATTGTCTATTGATATAACTTTTTTCCCCCAGATTTTTGTAATCTGGTGACATGTAACAGAATAGTAGCAAAACGTGACATTTTTATAATGCCCATACCTGCTGGAAAATTTCAGCATTTGCAAAAATGGCCTATCATAGCATTTAAATATTGCTGATAATTAGCTTGACATTTGAAATACCAGAACTGTTGTTTTGAAGATGCCCTATACAATGTTACCTAACTAACCCCTTTTCATACTTATATGCTTTCTCTACACTATTCTGTCAGTTACAGTACAAATAAGATATCAGTTGCTAATGTATTAACATGCAAAAGAACTGATGTTAAGGGGCGATACTTCATCTTCACTAGAAGCAGAAGTTTTATTGATGTAAAGGAAAATCACATATGCAGAGTATAGACAGTTAATTGTTAATAAGGCGGTCAATAACGATTTTCTATAACTCCACTCAAGCTAAGTGTGCCAATAAATCTTTCAAGGCCATCGTCAAACATTTGTTAAATACCTACCACGTGCTAAGTCCAGAGGATACACAGACGCGCTATTCTCACCTCAGGAAGCTTACTATCTATGTGGAAAAATAGAATCACAAAATTGCAGTGCTGGAAGGACACTGGAAGTCAACCCTTGACTTGTGACAAAGGGGGTAATAGAGGCACAGTGAGGTCACATGACTTGTCTAAGGCCCTGCAGCCAGTTGGCGGCAAAGCCAGTGCTAGAAAGCACATCTTAGGGCATACAATAGCAACACAAAAATATACGTAATAATACAAATTCCCAGTGCAGAATGCAATCTAAATTTAAACTCCACATGATCAGACTAAGGGAATGGAAATCCATGGGACTTTGGGGGATTTTCATGCTGCAAAGTCGGGATAGTCACTTAATTTTAAATTGTTTTGATGATTGTTGCTTTCATGGATCCCCTTAATTTGAGTTATAGAAGCCTACCAATTTGATCAATTACCAGAATCTAACAATACACCCATGTTTCCCGCAATAGTTTGGAAACAATAGAAATAAAGAGGCAGTTCCCAGAATTATGAGCTTGAAGACCTGTCTGCTTGTTCCAGGCCCAACATGTAACCAGCTGTGTGGCCTTGGCCTATTATCTAAGAAAACTTGGTCTAAATGGGTAAAAATAATGATAATGGGTTCCCTGTCTATGAGGTTGCCACGAGGATCCTACAAAATTGCATGTGTGATGGTACTTTGTGAAGTGTAAAACACCA